TAATCACTGGCTTCCGTCTTGTGTTGTTTGTTGTAAAATTCCCACTTTGTGAGTAGACACTTTAGCATTGTAAGATTAGTGGACGTTTTGCGCCCGTCACTTTGTCGTTGCGCTTGCGTCTGTGGTGTTTTTTCTTATGATGTCGCTGGTGGGACTGTGATATTTTATTCATCTATCCTGTATTAGGACTGTATTTCCAACAAAGAAGAGTTGCTGATTGTTGGCAAACAGTGGATTTTTTGGTGAGTTTTTATTTTGTTTCTGTATTGATATGTATGATGTTATTTACTGTGTCATATAGATAGCACAATATAAGCCCCTGTACAGCATCTCTAACATGCTCATAATTAAGTTCTTTATGATCTACTAGGAAGTCAAGCAGTGTTATAATGTATGTATATATATCTATTATTATCTATTATATAGTCCTATTATCATTACTTATTATCATCGGCAATAATGTTACGTTTTTGTCTGTCTATGGAGTCTGGTGGTGAGTGATACCAATATTACGGCTGTTTCTGGTCAAACAAAAGGTCTATCTCTGTAGGGATCCATAGACACTTAGAATAACAATCTGAGCACTTTTAGTGCACGTACTTTGATGGCAGCAAAGATTAACATTAGCTTACGTTTCTGCCCTTTTCACCAATATATTGTTAAATTGGTTTTGGAAAGTTTTATTTTATTTCTGTCCCATTGTTTTAGTCTGAAGTCAACCTTTAACCACACCCAACAGTTATGTCACAGTGTCCTGGAGTACACCTGTACATCACTGTAGCAAGATGAGAAGGAGATCAGCAAAAACAAGACTTTCAAGGCGAGTTCCTCTTTAAGAACAGTCGCAGTCTACCTACCCGTTTCCATGGTAATCATTGCTCCAATCCAGAGAGGGATGGTGGTTCGGCGTGTGTCGACCCAGCTGGTGGTAGTCCATTGATGATGTCATCACTGCTCCACTATTAAGCATACCTCCTCCTATTGGCTGGTAGTCAGACTGGAGGGAGGGGGCGTAGCCCTGGAATAAAAAGATGTGGTTAATAAAAAGTGTGCATGCTGGTGTTTTAAAAACAATGTCAGGTTAGTTATTGACTTGTTTACCAACAGGGTCAACAGTCGGAGCTGCAGCAGTAGCTCAGTGATCTTTAGTTTTAGGCACTTTCAGAGGACATCATTTCATATTATTTCCCTCACAAATAAACAAGTTTTCTTAATTATCAAAGCAATCTCAGAAGGGTTTACGGTGTAGCCAGGAGATACATGGAAAACAGATATCAGGGCAAGACTTCCACTGCAGTCCGATTAGCAATTACAATGATGAAAAAGAGACATTTCGGCTAAGCTAAACTGATATCGGCGAATGAATGCAAATTTTAATAAAGCCAATAAAAAACTAAATTTTCGTTAGATAGCAGACGATGGATTACAAGATTGCATTTTGGTCAATGCATTCCGCCTCTTTTGCTCTCCACACTGACTGTTGCATGCAACCAAAGCCTAATCAAACATGATCGTTCAACACTACTCGGACCACAAATGGAAACCAGAATGCTTCTTTGTTCTTCGTCTACAGATTCTGCATTTAAGCACTAATACCTAATTCAGCATACCTTTAAATTTGCAAAATGTACACCGCCTTTGAAAGGGCTTGTTTTAGTTTATAAGCTTTGTCTCAATGGAGTTCCTTTGTCCATGTTTTCAACGTGGTCCAGGTCATATTTCTTGGCAAAGAAAGTAAAATCCTTTACATTAATCACTGTGTTATTGTGCAGGTTTGAATGTGAGATGCCAGTGCAGTAATGGTGGCTTGTTTACGTCCTCCTTCAACCTGAATGAGTCCATAGACTCTGCTAATGGTTTTAGCAAACCAACCTTTAGCACTTGTTGGTAAAATGGTTTCTGATTAACAGGGACGTGAATGAATGAACTCAAGTGAAAAGGAGACAGATCACTCACAGGTTCATCAGCAGTAATTACAGTTTAGAGTGCTGATTTTATCATCTGCCAGGAGGGACGAGTGAAGAGGAGATGAAAAGGTAGGAGGAGAGGAGGAAGCAGGGGAAGGAGGAGGAGGAGGAGGAAAAGAAGGCGAAGCATGTCTCTAACCAGAAGATACTTGAGGGAGGAGAGAGAGATGGAAAGAGGGAAAATGAGCGAGTGCAGTGACAAAGTGCAGGAGTGTGTGTGTGTGTGAGAGAGTGAGAGTGAGAGAGAGAGAGAGGG